CAGCCGATCGGAAATTATACAACATACGCATCTGCACGGTACGACGAGAGACATCAGGTACACTGCTGAACTGACCTATCTATACCTCAGCAAAAGATATCACGTATATTAAAAAATATAACTTATGATATCAGACCGAACTAGATATTATGTACTCAGTTGATTTCAGGAGTACTAAATGTTTAAAATGTTTAAGACTCATTGTTTATGGCTGCAGCATAACCGACCGGATAACTTTGAATACAGTGAAACTTCCATATTATAGAGTCTTATTTATTAAGGGCAACAAAAAAAAAAAAAAACTAAAAATCGATTTATTGAGAAATGTACTATAGAATTAAATAAATATAGTCCTTATTTTAAAGATTTGGTTCACAAAAAATATAAAATGCTGTAAAATGAAAATTCGTCGTGTTGACGTTTCACTGTATTAGCGCTTTTGTGTTTATAATTACCTTAGTATGGTATACCTTATAATCGTATAATAATATTAATTTGATTTATAATATAGTTTATATAATACTTAGTTGATGACCGTGTACTTCGTTGCCCGTTAAAAATGCCCTGAGCTGTGTCCCCAAAATATTAACCGAACAGTAATTTTATAATTGAAACATTCGTTGTCTTTTTTGGCACCGTTTATTACGAGACTTTAAGGTTTCTATACAATGTTATAAAGTCACATCCGAGTTTGGACGATTTTGACACGACAAAGAAAAGTTTTAATTTAATGAGAATATTTTAATGCATTACGAAAATTGAATGTAATCATATTTCTACGCGGTACCCACCGGTATATTTTAAACAGAGTTTACGTCAACAAGTCATTCGACAAATTGTCAAAAACATTATAATGATATAAGCCCGCTATGCTAATGTGATTGCTTACTCGGGTGTCATTAAAGTATTGTTTTCTGACAAAATAATAATGCAAAATACAGGCGACATGGATATTATGTTATGATGTATATTGTTTTATGCATTTTTCGTTATTGCGGTGTGTAATTCAATACCAATTATTACATTTTCAGATGATTCGCAGGTGGTTTTTCGATAGCCGAAATACAACAGTTGGAGAACGAATAATGGTCGGATTGAACGACAATTATAGCACAATAGTAATGAAGTTGTACAGTTCGGCGGAATTATCGTTTGATCTTCAGTGATTTGAGAGGAAAAAAACCGCGAGAAGAGCCCTATAATATTTAAACTCCCCTCTCGGCGCCACAACAAACGGCACCGATTTCACAGCAGAGTGATTATAACGGTTAATAATAATAATAATAATAATAATAATAATAATAAAAATAATAAGGTAGGTGACAAATCGACGTATATGCACAGTCCAATGACTCTTATTGAAAAAGATAAATCGTATATTTATGTTCCTACTGACCACAACTGTTGTTATTTGATGCAATTCCAATTGGGATCTTACGATTTACGAATAGTTCACAAAGCGTACATGGCTTATTATAATTTAATATCGAACATTATTCTAAAATAGTTTTTCTTTGGCGATAAGTCCGTGTAGATAGATGTGAGTATCTTACAAAATATTGATGGTTAAAAAAAAAAAGAAAAATACGAAAATATTGTATAGGTATTTAAAATGTAGAATTGTTGATTATAGTTTAAGCTGCACGAGGTATAGCAAATGCACTGACAATTAATGGCTAATTTTCATTCTGATCAATATTTAAGACTTTTTTATGTATAATTTATAGACAATTGCGCTACAAGTGCACTGTAAATATTTTATTTTAGATTGTATGTTATTGTATTATATGTACATTGAATGTATTGATTTTACAATGGTGTGTGTTTTTTTAATTACTTTTTTTTGCGTCTGTTATCACGTTTTGGAGTAGTAAAAATATCAATTTATATCTTTGATAACATTTTAAAAATATTTTGTCTTTGTTTGAGCTGTTTATTGACATTTTAAAATTTAAAATTTTTGATTTTTTTTTATGATTTTTAATAAAACTTTATTTGTTGAGTCAAAAAGCTTGACGATTTAATAAGTAGCTCCTAATATATATTTACAATATCAGTTGAAAAATATTAAAAATACATATACTTTTTTTATATAAACATTAACAGTTTTAATTTTAACGAAATTCGTATCATTCAAAATGTACAAATAATTTTATAATTTAAATTTTTTTTAATTTTCAACTCTTATAGCTTAGGATTGAAAATGTAATACTGAATTTCATCTTAGCATGTAATTCTATAATCAACAAATCTAAAAAGATACAAGCGCAGGTTTTTTTTTTTTTACTTTATGTCCAAATGTGGCAAAATTGCATATTAAATAACCAAGAATAATGATTTTATGTTATTTTGTCGTATATTAAAAATATTATTCGGAGTTACTTGAAATTTTTAAAGTATATTATTACATTTTATATACTCAATGAATTTTCAAATATATTTTTTCTTTGGCCAAAATAATTTAATCTACTGCGAAGTACTAATGCTTAGGTACTAGTAAAATAAATTACTCTAATCACGATAATATTATCAAATATACTAAATTACTAAGTAGTATTATAGACTGACAGACCGCCTTCGTTCAGAATCAATTTTTGTATCGGTGATTTTATGTCATTGAATTCAAATTTAACACACACCATCCATTACAGTTATCCACTTGTGCAGACAGAGCGACATCCACTTACCCGCTTTTCATTTTTAACACTGAACATTTTAAACTTTAAATTGTATCAAATTACTTTTGGGGACAATACGAAATGTAGCCTATTTGAAAATCTAAGTTTTAAAAAAATGTTATACTAAAACATTTATTGGCGCCAATACCTTTTTTTAACAACTTTTAAAATACCATTATTTTTACTAAGCAAATTAATTTGAAACGTAATAACATTATTCAAAATATTCTTGTTGGGGATTCTATAATTAGCCTAACTTTACTATACCTTTGTACCTTTCATTCATTTTTGGTGGATACAAGGGAACTTTACGTGCGCGTTGATTACTTTAAAATATACTTGATAATAATATGCAAATTAACAAAATAGCTTTTGCTTGTTTTAAAAATGAAACATTAGTAATTCTTTATGACGTGGAAAAACATCTGTGACGTGAAATATCTGTTATTTGATTTAAAAATAAAATAATTTGCGTACTTAGTGATTAGTATATTAATATACTTTTGTCTATTAGAGGTATATTGAAACCTTACCATATTTTACTTAACTATAGACACTAAACAGTATTGTAATTTAACTAAATACTTTAAAAAAAATAAATATTTTATAGTGAACAGCTTGAGTTTACATTTGCACACAATATACCTTCAAATAATTATGCATTACTTGCATGTAATCCGGAAACAGTATCATTAATCATATTTAATAGTTATTTACAGTTATTATGAAGGCTATGAATAAATTTCAATTAAAATCGATTTTAATCATGAATTAAATATTTTTATTTAACGAACATTTTAATTTTAATTAAACTTGTTTTGAATGATATTATAGGCGAATAATAATATTTACTTGTAATTTTATTCAAAATTAACCAAAATGTAACCCCTCTTTTCTTTTTTTTTAATTTTAAAAAAAAGGACAAAAGGATTCAGAAATGTATACATCGATTTTTTCTCACTTAGTTTATCTCAGTAATGGTATTGAGTTTGTACCTATCATTCTGAGTTCGAAGGCCCCATTTATACGTGTTGTCTTAAAAGTTATTAGCTGCTTATAAAAACAATATTAAAAAATTGTTTCTAGGTGTTCAAAATGTTTTAAATCCATATTATTTTAAGTACGATTTGGTCAATTTGTTCTATGAATGCATTTGTTCAACAGCACACTATTGAAACTGCTGAACGAAAATTTGATATGCCCGTGAGCGTGTGTAAGACGGAGACAGCACATGTGGGTGCGTCGCCCTCTTAAGGATGCTTAACCAATGATAGTACTTATCTAAAGAATATAATTGGAAATAAATTTGAATATAAATATCCATTTTTATACCACAAGTAATTTAAACCTAAAACAAAATACAATTTTGACAAACTGCTTTTGAGATTATTGAGTAACGTGACATTATGTGGTTAACCTTTTACTATATGTATACCTATACTATTCGTTTGATTTTTTTTCGAAAAAAAACCTGTTGAGTCTTAATAATCGGAATGTTTACGGCAGATGGTACTTTGTTCTACAAATTCAGTACTTTTAATTTGAGCCACCAATAATAAGTACATTTAAGTGCGTATATAACCTGCCATAACATATAAAAAAAAAACGACATTTAATTTGTTTTACATACAAAAATTGAGTTTGGTAATCTGTGCCTTGGCAGAAAACTGAATGGCTAAGTAATCATCTGCATGACTGCGCCCCACTTTCAATTTCAATTACCGGAACTTATCTTATACATCTGCATAGATCGCATAAGTTACAGCACTTAAAACGAGAATAAATAATATGGGACTCTTGATAAAATGAACATTAAATTTGACAATGAGTTAAGATTTTCCGATTTCATATATATTATTTTCCGATTCGATGGTCTTTCGGGACAAGAGCACATAATATCATATTTTGTGCTTAAATAATGTATTTCTATCGTTTTTAAAATGATGAACACACCTGTTTATTTCTGTAAATTGAGTTACGAAGTCACAATCATATTTAGAACGTGTTTTTAATTAGATTTTTATCAAATGATTTTCGTAATGACCAAAAATTCTACATGTTGCCATGGCTATTAATTCGATTTTATAGGTTATAGTGTTAACCTTTAACTAGTTTAACTACTACAATAGGTTTATGCCCTTCATAAGGTTGCAGCCAAAAGGTACATTAGTTTGGACTGCATGAATGTCTCCGCAATAACATTTGCTACATTATAATGATAGTACATTAAAACTAATATGTTAGGTAGACTAAATACAATTATTAGTCGATTATAATTTAAAAACATTTATTTACCCAAATTTGCCGTTTATATATTATTGTTTAGGTGATATTAAAAGGCATTTTCTTTTTGAAAACAGTACTAATTAATTCCCGTAATTCGTTGTTTATCTGTTTCTGAGCTTTAAGTCGTTTTTCCAACGATACTTTGTGAATGTTCTCGGAATCGTAGCTGGTTAATATGTTCAACAAGTCTTTCTTCTCCTTCTGGAGTTGTGCGATACTGTTTTCAGCAATCTTCATGCGCCTCTTATTTTCGGCCAACTCCATTCTGAGAGCACTCATTGTGCTATCGTCGTTTGATGACGAACGAACTCTCTTCAAATTCTCATTTAGTTTACTGTCCAACACGATGCCAAACTTTTCCAAATACTGCTTGGACGAGGCGATGAGTTCTGATCCAATTATTTCTGATTCATTACCAGTCGTTTTTAATACCAAATTTACATGAACCCTTACATCCTCGAGATTTTTAAATTTCCTGTTGTCAATTATCTGTTTCAAACATTGGTGGTAAGTACTGTTAACGTTGACCGTAAAAACAATATTTTGCCAAAAACGTCTGCCCATAAAAAAAATAAAAATAAATAAAAATAATTGTATTGTTTTATTAATTTTAATGTCATCTAACTCGGGCATTCCAGTTTTAAAACCATTTTTTTCAGAGTCTGACAATTTTTTATGTTTTTCTACCCCCAGTGGTTTTGGATTAGTTTCCATTTGATGGACATTAAAAGTTTCAAACACATGATTATTCACCTAAAAAAATCGTGGTTTGAGAAAATAGTGGTAAAAACAATACTTATAGGTTTTCAATAACAATAGTAATTTATATATTTTTTTAAATAGATATATTTTTTGTAAGTACCTACGCATAATATATATTAATATTATAATGGGTACCCGTGATATTATATCATTTTACTTTGAAATTATTATGATTATGTGAATTATGTAACGTTAATTTCAATATAATTTTAATAAAGCAACACCGCAGCTTACGAATTGCGATTCATTGTAAAACTTGATATTATAATATTTAATTAGAAAAATTAAATATTATTGGTACGCTGTATTACAGTATCCGTATCATAATTATTTAATACAAATAACATAATATACTTATATAATAACATCTCACAACATTTTCGACGTTTTCCACATGTTTCGTGTCACCTTTCATTTGCATACAATCTGCACTGCCCGGTGCACTTAGATTTCCATAGTCATTGGCAAACGATTTTTGGTCATTGTCGTCGTTGAAGTCGTTTACTTTACCATTAATTAGTAAGTTTTCTTGAAACGACCTATGTTTGTCGATCAAAGCTTTTACGTTTGAACGTATTTCAGTGGGTTTCTGGATTTCTCGCTCGTGTACCGTGTTGAAACTTTTGTAAGATGCAAACGAATGGTCGGACGACGCATCCAATATGGGAGATGTCAATTCAATACAAGGCATCGATTTTGTGCCTTCCATTGTCGTGTTAGGTCCTGGTTCCGACATGTCTCTGATAAAACGAGTGGACAGTTTATTAAAAGTTGTTGAAAAACGATTTTCCTCTCCGCACCTACCTACGTATTATTTTATTTGTCCTGTAAAATAGCAATACAACAAATTCCGGTGAAATAAAATAATGTACAAATCTCGATTTACAGAGCAATACAACACACCGTAGGTATAGTAATATACGTTTTTAGCTACTTTATGTTTATTTTATCAACAAAAACGCAAACATAACGACGAATTATTAACAACCTACATTAAAATATATATAATATATAGTTATCAGTTGCAGCTGCTGTGTGGTCCCCACGACTTAAAAGAAAATATACGGAACCCCACTGGTCTACTTATTATTAATCATATTTTGAGTGAAAATCGGACCAAGTTGGTCAGTAAATAGTAATTAAATTAATTCTAATTAATTGCATCTGTTTCAATTGTTTACTATACGTCGTAAGTAAACAGCGTGTACGGCAATGTGGATTCGTCGGGTTAAAAGCATACTTATGCAAATCTTTAACTATGGTGGAAATTATAAGGTAATTTATTTGTATTTATTTGCTTTGATTCAATAATGCGGTAGAAAATAATTATTTAATGTTAAGCAAATGAAATATATTATTTCTTGGTTTCAATTCAGGAGACACAATATTTTAACTGTCTCATATAAAGTGTGGACAATGTATAGGAGTAATAGGAAGATTTTTCAACAAAATGGTTATTTAGGTATTTAAAAAATGTGAAAGTTGTAAATGTATGAACAAGGTCCGGGTGTGAAATAAAAAAATTAATAAATTCACTTTTTGTAAACCTTTTTAATATTTTTAAACTTTTTGAGTTCAATATAATATTATTTACATGTTATATTTTTATCTTAACGTTTTGAATGTTGATTTAACTTAACAATTGATTTTTATTTTTTTTTTAAATTTTCTTGGCAACTTTTGCCATACCTATATGCAAAAATGTTGCAGGTAGTAATGAAAAAGTTCGTTTTACCAATCAGGTTTTACAGATTGGCTTTCTAACGGTGCTCCGTACATTATGATATCTATTAACGTGTTCTGTGAAAAGAAAAACAGCGTTTTATGTACCTGGCCTAAACCTATATAGTAACTTGTATTAATGTGCATAATAATATACAGGGTGATTCGCCGAGCATACTCACCCCCATATTTTTAATTTAAAAATAAATGTATTCAAATATACTTAAGATCATATTATTTTCAAATTCTTAAGTTCTTTTGTACTATTTCCTAGTGTCTTGTATGGAATTTCTGTTTTTAAATTGTGTGGGACCCTAACCTTTTTTTCTGTAAATTGTTTAGTGGATTTTCTTTAAAGTTCAAAATTCGAATGAGTAGTTTTTCAGTTATTATAATGTTTTTACTGAGGTTAGATAATAGTCCGTAAAAATGGTCGTACAAAAATATAAAATTTATGGCACTTTGGATCTGGTATTTATTATATATTATACTTGAACCATTTTTACAAATTATTAATATTAATAGACTAATTTTTACAGATCATCATACGTATCTAGCCATATATCTAACCACGAATATAGCCTTCATATATCTTCTAAAACCCGTTATCATGGATCCGTTATCCGTATAGTACACAAGTCGAAAACTTTTCATTGGGATTTTGATTTGTCAACTTTTTCAAAAAAATTGAATTTGTAGTAGCTAAACTAAGGGGTTTCTCAATATCGAAAACCAGAAGTTTATATGTCCACAGGACACTCCTCTAGTAGTGCAAAGATCTCAAATACAGGAAAATATGGTCCTCGATAAGTACCTACTTATTTTATACCTACTATATACGTAGGCTACTATTTAAAAACTAGAAAATTCAAACATTTATGGCAGATATTTTGCAGTGACTGCAGCATCATAATTGAAGGGGGAAAAGGGAGTGAGCACGCAGCTGGCGAATCAGCCTGTATACACATGACTCGGCGAGAGATATACAGACGACATTTAAATATTTGTGTACATCTACATTAAAATACGTTTACAAATGTATATTACAATGTTATGTAACGCGAAACCTCTCGATCACGTGTGCGTGGAATACGTTGTTGTTTTTATTCCGCCCGAACACGTCCTTTTTCCGTTTTAGCTAGAAATTACTGCATTTTAACACTGCTCCGCCGCCGCCGCTGTGAATATAGGTAGGAATTATTATTATTCGAATTATTACTTGTAGCATAGTCGGTGTGTACATTATGTACAGTTTTAACAGCGTTTCGGTACACGTGAAATAATAATATGGTTTACGTAATGACATCCATGTACATACCTACCTACGTTATATTATATTTTTATTGTTACGCCCGAAAATTTCGCGTATGATGTGAGCACGACTTGGTAGGTCCTAACCTACACATTATATATTATATCAAATATTATTCGCATTGGCGTTTGAGTACAATAAATACAATATACATGTTAATATGATAATATTATCATTATTAAATATGTTTAATTATTATTATTATATTATGTGTGCACGAGATTCCCGTACATATAATAATAATATTACGAGCGATACACCGATTAAGTATAGGTATATTATTAAGTCAGCGGCGAACTTAGAAATGTCTAATGGGTGGAAGGGAGGCACAGAAGCATTTTGTTTGAAAGCAATATTATCATTTATGACTATACAGTGCGTGCGTTGGAAACACACAATTTTATTTATAACATAAAATAAGATAAATGTTATAAAAGTTATAACAGCTGAATACATCTGGGGTGTTGATACAGCATATTTCAACTACTCTCAGTAATAAAAAAAGCATAATTACGATGGATAGGAGGGGGCGCAGGACCCTTATGTCCCACTTAAATATCCCCTTGCATTAAGTGAATATTTAATGAATATGGACACCAGGACACGATACTTATGTAAGTATATGCAACGCTGCTTGGTCATAAACAAGTTCGAATGCTTAGACAATTTGTCTTAGATTTTTTGAGTTTAATTTTTTTTCACTTGACTTTGTATTTGATCATGGATTTTTAACACGAATGAAATTGCTGTTGTAAATATAGAGAAAATTATTTAATAATACATAAAAAAGTTAAAGAGATCATATTTATGATAAAACAATATATAAATTTAATTTCTGAACATTTTGTTATTAGTATTAACTAACTAATTGATTAATTTAGAGCAAGGATTTTCATGAATTCGCATAACTTTTCTGGTTAACTTTATCTTACACAAAGTAAGTACACAATACATTTCACAACGTTTGTGACCAAAAGCCCAAAGTTTTTAGTCCATATGTTTGCATATATTGATATTTTTGGGTTTAAGGGACATATTTTTGATGATAAGAACCTATTTTGATTTTTTAGGGAGTATTTTGAGGGTTTTTCGAAAATCACGTACTTCAGTGAATATTTTTCACGAATCAAGGACAGCAATTATTATATATAACTGTTTCTATATAATTTCCCATAAAGATGATAGAGAATCATTTTATCTCAACTGTGAATGTATAGATTAGATTACAATAACGTGATATCAAATTATTTATTACATTTATTTTTGTATTTTTGAATAGGTAACAAATTATTGTGCGTAGTAAAATAATTATTTAGTTCTAGAACATTCGCCGCGCGTGTACTACGTTTTATCGAGTGTGTGTACTTTTGTATACATTTTATATTAATTAATCTATTGATATTGCCTAAAGAAAAAATTAAAATTTTTAAAGCTATACGATTTAGTGTTTTAATTTTTTGGGGGGAATATTTAACCGCATATTCTTAATTTTTGATGCGTAAGTGCATATTTTTAAATGCAGATTTGAAGATTTTTTGTACATGAAAGTCTATTACTCTATTGATTATTAATACAATAATCACTTATTATCATTGATGTACATGGTACAAGTTGTTGTATACGAATTGTATATTTGTATACTTAGATACCTATATCATTACAAATAAAATTACGTCTTGCAGTAATAGAAAAAAAATGCATTCGCTTCAAAATGTTGTGAATTCACCTCACTATAGTCACTACGTAAAATATTTATATTAAATTCATAATTTAAATAGTATTTTGTTTGGTACTATTTTTTTTTGACTTAATAACCACCATAACGTTATTACTTATTTTTTGTCAGATAAAATATTATAAAATATGCAAATATCGAACCGAAAATGAATACAAAATACACCATTATCACTGTTACTGTATTTAGTGTTGATTGTATTTTATATTTCACCGAATTAACATCATATTTCATTCGTTTTCACTAATCGATTTTGACGGGTTGAAAAAAAAAAGGACGATAGGATTCTCAGTATACTGTAATAATAATATGCAAATTAAAAAAATACTGTTTTTGACGCTCACTCGACGGTCGACGCCTAGCGCCGTCTCACAATTTAAAAACGCAAAAATGTTTAACACTTTTGTTTTTTTCGGGTGCACGCAAATAAGTAGGTCAATATTGTGTGCACAAAATCATTGTTTCACATTTTTTACGAATATTATTTGTATTTCCACCGTGTGATGGGTTGCGACAAAAGGCAACAAGCAATCAGTTTTTATTTTTTCCCGATGATACACCTATGTGCTTGTTAATAATCCACCACCTCTCTTCAATAATATTATAATTATTGTGATTTCGTGTTTTTTCATCGTTTAGCTACAATCCATTTCCAATCGATCACCTTACGCCTATAATACAATACGCGATTATTATTATGCAAACGACCATGGTACTACTGTGATATCATTAAATCGTATTATTGTTTACTAACTATTTTTGTGCAAGTAGTTTTCAAGTGATTATTGTTAAGTGGCGGATTAACGGATTCTACCGGTCTACCGGTCTACAACTTAATCGTTGTAATTAAATTTAAATTTAGAGGACAATTATTCGAATAGCGTCGTCATCTATACCATATATTTATGTCATATACATAAGCTCAAACCGTCAAACGTTTTAATATTTTATTTAGAAATGAAAAACTAACTATCACAATTTGCTTGTCTTCCTACTAATGCACTCAAATATAAGTATAATATTATGTACAAAGGTGAAGATGAGCATTAGCTATGGCCAAAACATTAAAGCTAAGCATAAAAGTTAATATTGTTGAGTTCTATAATTTATAACTAATAAGTAAATTATTTTATTGATTCACCTAGTTAAAATACAATCCATTATAATAATTTTATCTGTTAATAGTTAATTTCAAAAGTAATACTTCAAATTAAAATCAATTCAATATATATTTAAAGAATAATTTTTTATTTAAAATCATTTTTTTTTTAATAACGCTGCATACAATAATTTTGAATAAGAATTATAAAAACCTTGATTTAATAATGTTTAAATGTTTAGACGTTTAGTTGATACATTCTAAATATATTTATTACCTAAAACACCACTTCTATAGTGTACATTAATAAGGAATAGTAGGCGGTAATTTTAACAAAATATTTAATTATTATTTAAAACATTTGAAAGTTTTGTACCAATCATTATTTTGTGTGTGTGTGTGTGTGTGTGTGTGTGTGTGTGTGACCTATATGGTAATAAAAAAAAATACCTACTTATTAAACTTCTTTTCTACCGAGTCAATAATTATTATAGTCAATATTTTTCTAAATATTATTAATAACTTTAAACTTTTTGTGTTAAATATAGGCTTGGTTTTTTTTTAATACCGTATATTCCAACTTAACGTTATTATAAAATTTAATTTAATGACGCGACGTCTTATACTATGTAAAATGGGTTTTTTTTTAACTGTAACCGCAACGAAGGCCATATTATGTTCTATGCTGTTTGAAATACTGTTTCTCGTCTTATTTTACGCAGTCGACGATTCGCGTATTACCTACGTCCATTAAAATATATTATTTATCTCAACCGCCTACTACTGAAACTATACTGACGCAGGTTAGACCTACGGTTGTAAAAATAACACTTGAAAAGTCCTTGGTCAGGAGTTGCGGGATTGAGTTGCGCCCGATTTGGCGGAAACGGTGTGTCCCACACAGAAAAATAATCAAGACGTACACTTTTCAAACCGCTCGATTGCAATATTCACGAAATACCGGTATATTAGGTATATAATATTATTCGTCAGGTATGTACAGAGAATACCACAATAAGTGCTCTGCGTCTCTTCTGATTTGGAGAAAAACATCGAAGACAAGTAGGTATATTATATATTTTATTATACTGTAGCATCATCGCGGAAACAATCGAATTCGATCATCGGTATAATATAGCCGAGAAAAACTCAAAAACATAATAGTTTACAGCCAGATTAACCAGATAAATTGTATTATGTATAGGTAATATACGATTGTACGTTGTACCTATAATACTTCAATTTTGACTGTTGGCGATTTTTCACGTCAGTATAGCTGGTAATATTTTGAAATTTACGAGTATTTTGAAAATAGCTGTGTAAAATAAATACTAATTTTAATTAATTCGTACATTATATTATCTTCTTGAAGGATAAATACAACATTTATGAATTTTATAAATTGCTCGCTGATCCCGTGCACTTTGTTGCCCGTTGAAAATGCCAAATCTATACGTGAGACCATCTTAGCAAGCAATTTGTGACAATTCAATTAGTTATTTTTTCTCAATAACTAATGTAATACCATTGATTGTAAATACTAATAATAGATACCCAGATAAATTTTTTTTTTTTGCTAAATTAAATAATTATAATAATTGTTTATCTGTGGTTGTCGAGTTCGATTGTTATTTATTTTCAGCCACCGACTATTTCTTACTGAAAAAAGCGTATAGGTATACCATTTATGCGTTTATTTTAGTTAATATAATAACTAATTACTTATTAACTTTATCGGACTAAATGTATGCCTAAAACCTTCTCTGTGATGTTGCCTTTGATTTAAAAAAAACTGCACGCCGATTGAATAAGTAGTTTGGGAGTTTATCTCGGACAAAAGAATGCGACTTCATTTTATATTATAGCAGTATAGATATAGATGTATATGCAACGAGATATCGTGAAATTTTTTTCCGAATATCACTTTCCGTGTTTTTTTTTTTTTTTACCAGCACTAAACTATGTGTAAAATATAGGTACTTCAAAATGTACATTATCTTACTCAAATGAAATTTAAAGTTTTGTATTGATT